ATGTAGATTTAAGGGAGTGTTGTCTCCCTCTCACACAACCACTGTCTTTATGTTGCTGATTTAAGGGAGTGTTGTCTTCCTCTTACACAACCACTGTCCATATGTAGATTTAAGGGAGTGTTGTCTTCCTCTTACACAACCAGTCTTTATGTTGCTGATTTAAGGACAGCTTTTAATAATAATTTGGTGACAGAGTACAAGTCGAGTGATCATCAGAACCTCACTAGCCGTCCTTCTCAGGATTATTAGCGATAATAGGGACCAGAAATTTCTCCGATTATTTTCACGTGACATGCCTGATCTTGCGTTACGTTTTTACGTTAACATTCACGTATTTTTCTCTCTCTACTCTCGGGGTATTTTTTTCAATAAATGTTTGTTAAACATAACGGTTGGTGTATAAGATGAAAACATCTAATTTTGTAAGATTGATTGCATAGAAACCAAAGAAATCTGAAGAATTAAACAAGAGGCCCATGGGCCTTAACGGTCATCTCACAAAATGCAAGCCAAACTCTAACAGTGAGTCTGCTGTTAAAACAGTGGGCTTTATTCATTTGAATAAACTTGGTAGCCCTTCCTTCCAGCATCCTACAGGCCCAATATCAGCACTCTGAGCCTTTTGGTTACTGAGAAAAAGTCGTTTACAGATTTTAACATATTTGAACCCTGTGATCTTGAAAGTGGGTCAAGGTCATTCACTTGAACACATTTGGTAACATTTTCTCAAAGCATCCTACAGGCCCAATATCAGCACTCTAATCATTTTGGTTATTGAGAAGTCATTTGCATATTTTAACATATTTAACCCCTGTGACCTTGAAAGTGGGTCAAGGTAATTCATTTGAACAAATTTGGTAGCATGTCATCCCAGCATCCTACAGGTCCATTATCAGCACTCATTGACTTTTGCTTATTGAAGAGACGTTGTTTGTATATTTTAACATATTTGACCCCTGTGACCTAGAAAGTGGGTCGAGGTCATTCATTTTAACAAACTTGGTAGCATGTCATCCATGCGTCCTACAGGTCCATTATCAGCGCTCTCTGACTTTTGCTTATTGAGAAGTCGTTTGTATATTTTAATATATTTGACCCCTGTGACCTTGAAAGTGGGTCACGGTCATTCATTTGAACAAACTTGGTAGCCCTTTCTGCATTCTGAGCCTTTTGGTTGTTGAGAAGTTGTTTAAAAATTTTAACATATTCGACCCCTGTGACCTAGAAAGTGGGTCGAGGTCATTCATTTGAACAAACTTGGTAGCCCTTCCTCCAAGCATCCTACAGGCCCAATATCAGCACTCTTGGACTTTTGCTTATTGAGAAGAAGTCGTTTGTATATTTTAACATATTTGACCCCTGTGACCTTGAAAGTGGGTCAAGGTCATTGACTTGAACAATCTTTGTAGGGCTCCATGCCAGCATGTTATGGGCCAAGTATTAGCCCCCTAGGTCTTCTAGTATTTGAGAAGAAGTTTTTTGAATGACGGATGCACGGCGGACGGCGGACGACGACGGACGAAGCACGATGGCTATAGGTCATCTCGACCCTTCGGGTCAGATGACCTAAAAATCCACACAAATACATTTGTTGTAAATTATTCTGTTTGAAATCGCAACAGAATCAAATTTCCTTTTGTACTCGAAATGTCAAGTAAAGACAAAATTGTCTTTCCTACAGAAAACTCAACGTCATGACAGTGTGCATTCTACAATTTGTGTCACTTTGGTCTATTGTTCGTTTCAAACCCTCGGTACCCTTTTTATATTATCGCACTGCGGAGCAACTAGAAGTGCTCTTACTTGACTACGCGACGAGAGCAATACCGCCGTTACTGCGAGTACATCGGAGACAATCGACTTTTCGTTGAACCACTTCATACTAAAGCAAAGGTTACATATCATTAACTATTTTACATTGTACAACCTAGTCATGACAGTGTTAAAGCGTGAAACCATTGACGAATAACAGTTATGAAATGTGCTTAGTATTAATGTTTGCTTAGTATTAATGTGTATATGAACGAGAAAAAGTACCTTGATTGACGAAGATGTAGGTGGAGCTGAACAGCCTGATGTAAAAAGATCGCGCGATAACAAACCACCGATGCAGTGTGTATGTGTACATAACCGGTACTAGAAAAAGGAACTTTCTAGGAGACACATCGCCATGTGTTCAATGAGAGTGTCCACGAAAAACACAGCGTCACAGTAGCATAAAATGTCTCCAGACAAGAAATGTTCCTATGACTGCTTTCAATTTTCATATTGACGTTAAGAAAATAATGGGAAGAGAAATTGTCCTCGTTTACCGATGGTTCATGTATAATTTCCGTATCACGTCCGGAACAAGTGTCGTGGGAATCAATTGACATATACAAAATATACAAAGTTTCTGTCACAGAAAGTATGATATATGTTACAATGCATTTGGTATGCATGATACTGATAGTGTCTCGTAACACACCTTACAATTATTTGTTTAAAACTTGACAAATACTTGTAAGGGTATGAATGTGCAGGCGCTGACTTCTATGTAATGCTTAGGTCAGACGCCTACGGATGGCCCCAGTCCAAGATATTAAATGAAGGTATCGCAGTATTACATGGCAAACCAAAGTAAAAGTAGTTTTGAATGGTATTTTGATGTTACGATGTATTATACGTAAAAAGTTAATCCTAATTCAACAACTAGAGTAATATTAAGGAAGAGGTTGCCTAAGATGAAATGGCCACATAATGATCACAGTGTCCGCCTATATAAGGCGAATTCAAGTGAAAAACCGAAATAGTTGACACAATATCTCTCTTTCCTCTAGTCCATCATTTGACGGCGATGGTGCATTAGCATTGTTACAATGGCATAGATTCCTTTAAAGGGAGTAAATACGCAAAGACTCGCACCAACGGAAGTTTCATCGCGACTAGCACCGTACGGGTATAAATAGACAGCTTTTCAGTTCCGGTTCCAGGTTAACGATATCAAATCAAATCAAAATATTTCCTACGTGGTAATATTTTCTTGCACTTGAGGATACGTGTTGTATGTATAATGCATGTATGCAATAAATACGGGTATGTGCCGATGTTAATCATACGAGTGCACCTAAAAAACCGAGCAAAGAATGTCAAAGTTTATACAAAACATTCCTGCGTCGACATGGGTAGGACAGTTTTCGGGATCTCTAAACCCAGTTGTTCTCGGCGTCTACAAATCTAAATCACTTTAGCATTTTGTATTAAATTTATTGTTTTGCAAACTTTGAAAGGAAACCAGTGCTAATAGTCTGAAATAATGGTGACTAAATGTCCCTTCAGTAATTAGTATAGATTTTTAAAGGGTGTGGTATGTGTATATGTGGGGATAAGTGTAAGGGTTATCATTTGATTCACGAAAGTCACCATTTTTCTACAAAACAAACGTGTGGTTGTTTAATACTACATTTAATACTGTATTTAACTACTTCTCATTGGTTATTTTTCTTTTGATTAATAGTGAATAATTATAATAAGTAGCGATAATTTGCCGATGGATTGGGTATGAATACATTAGACAATCCAATAACTCGTTCATTTCAAATTGTCTCTATATTGTTCAGAGTAGGGAAGCAATTTACAAGGACATAAAAGTAATACAAACGAGAAACAAGGATGTGTTTGTTGTAACTTTTTTTTTGTTTTTTTTTTGTAAACTCCATACAAACCATATAAGGAAATGGACAATTATCAACGAAAGTTAAATTTATTTAACTATATGGCAACCTCATGCTTTCTGCTGTCGTCAGGTTTCAGCGCTCTTCTGTATATTCTTCAAATCACAGATTAACGTTCGATATAAATCGATATAAATAAGTCATTTTTTCTGCTTTTCCTACTTTCTATATCAAATATTTCACACATTTACTATATCTACAGGCTGTTAGAAAAATATCTTAGTTCAGTATTACTGCGTTAAATACTATTTTATGTTTTCACAAAAAAAAAAAAAAAAAAAAAACTTTCTCGGTCTTTTCCACATTTTCTCAATTGGACTATTGTATAAAATCCTCATTTCTTTAGGTTCGTTGTCACAACACCATAACATCAATTTTCTGATCTCTACATCACTTAAACATGTATGGAATAAACGATAATTTCGACACATTATTATTCGATACAAGCCTCATTATCAAAAATTTGCCATCTCAACATCAAATCATCGAGAATGACACTTTTAAGCAACGGGAGTTCTGAGTTAGAGCCAAAAATATATGTTCGACATTCAACTGTCCAATAAAATCTCTTAACCTTGGTTGAATTGAACACATTGTTTAAAGTGTCATACATGTGCTCAAATCTGTGTATCAAGTAAGTTATTTTGACAAATATGAAAATGGTAGGTATTGCAAGCATCATCTCCCTTTTACTGACGGAAGGTATCATCACCAGATCACGAAGTCACCGCCGCTATGTAGCCGTATCAACATGTGTAATACATAATAACGACACCGAAACGATTGATCTCACTTCATTAAATATATTTGGCCACGTCTGATGATAATGTAGAGTTAGTTATGGAATGTGTTTCCTTTAACCGATATAGTGCGTTTCTCTTACTACCAAAGATATTTCTTCGGAAATGTTAAAATTGACGAGATGGAAATGAAGACCTTCATGGTACTGTTGTTGATAAACCTTCATAATATTTCTTCTAAGTGTTGGGGAGTGTGTACTTCAAAATATGAGTGGTATGTATGATCTATGAGTAGATAGGATCACAATCTGGTTCATACATATTTTTTGGGGGACAAGACTACAAAGGTCACCGCTACAAGGAATCGGTGGTGAAACACAATAATTTGATGTAAATAGTATTTTCTCTGGCGCTGAGAATTTATTTCTATAAACTACACAAGACACGAACAGAGGATTGAATAAGACTTGTCACGTGATGCCCACATAAGGTATATGATAATCCACAAAGCCCTGAACAAACCAAAACAATAGGTGTCGACGAAAACTGGACGATAACTATTGACTTTATTTCAAAACATTTCAAAATGAACACAATAACTTATTTCATGATCATTCAAATTAAACATTTTTTCACTTCACAATACATAATGCTAAAAACATGAGACCGTTTAAAGTGATGACACGACATGAATACACCATGAAATGACATGACATGATGACAACAATAATTGATTTAATGTCTTTGACTGCCTACAAAAGTCTCTAAAATGCTTATTTCTCTCATCCGGTTGTTTCATACAAACTCCATCTACGATCTGGTCAGCTAAATTCAGATTAGAGTGCAACAGATAACTCCGGAATATTGGACCCGTGCGGTACTGAACACTTCACTGAATCCATAGGGAGCTGGTCATTCTCTACAGCATGGAGCTGGACGCAGATCTAATACGAACCACAACCTGTGAACATTGAAATAACATTACAGTGAGGAAATTGATATATTCTATATATCTTACAAACCTAAGCTCCATTCCAAACAGTGGTACTTTATTTGGCTCTTTACCATGAAAGTATCGCACGCAATCGTTCGCGAACTATACACCACATTCGCTATGTGGAATTCGGCCTCATCTATACTCAATTTACAGGATATGCATCTTCAATACAACCAGGAAAAGGTATCATGCTGCGTTCGTCACCCATAATTTGAATACAAGCTATCCTTTTATCACTTAGAATTTATTTCATCGACAGAAATCTTTTTTACACTTCTTTTTAGATACAGAATGTGAAATAAATATGTTTTCGGAGTACAGATCACAGGAAATTCAGAAAGAGCTATTCAATCTGATACACAAAATTAATCACACAAGTGAATGGCAGTGTGAGAAACCACAGAAACGTTTTTGTTTAATTTGATGGCGATCAATCATAAAACAGGCCTACTTCGGGACGCACTCCATAAACATAGTTACAGTAGGCAACGATAAGAATGGGATTTAACTTAAGTGTGAAACCGATATCCCAAAAAGAGTTTTCATCGGCTGGTAATAAAGTAATGGACAAGCCTGGTATATGGGGTGAAGAATGAGGGAAACTGTCAATGTGAAATACCACAGACATTAACACGAGCTGGCAGTGTGGGGAGCTTGTTTACCTACGTCAAATAGAAGAGGAAATCAATTTCAGTTTCAAGACTCAACAATTGCTTAATTTGTGGTTATCAATTAATGTCCTATCTGCTGCTATAGCCACATCTGTTACAGCGCTTGATTAAAACGTCAGCGTGTTGAAGCGCGTTTGGTATAACGCCGCCCGCAATGTTAGTTTGATCAGCCAAACTTCAAAGTATAGTTAACAAAAGTTCAGTATTTTATAACAAGCCCACATGAAACATGATGAATTATTGATATCGTGAAAGCATTTCTTTAGAGCATTATCAATTAAAAAGACAAAATCTGCAAACATGTCACTCTATTAACAACTGCATAGGGTTTAAACCTCAAACAAGATTACGTGTGCTAACAGCATTCCTTAATTGTTCCCTCACACACCATTCACATTCTTCTAGTGAGGAAGATAATCCCTTTCCCATAGATATGGTTGTAACACCTGTGATAAGTAGTACGTAACGTTAATGAGGAATTCAACATTTAGCCAGAGCCATCAGATTACATGTATGTTTCCAATTTGTCGAGTGTCACAAAATATTATTTCCACAAAACGTTTGCAGCTCACGGTATTCTGTATGAATATATTTATATCAAACCTTGTTAATAGCTCTCATAAAGTACAAACAATGTAAATATATTAGTCAATTGGAATTTCTAAAATGGGATTGGATGAATTGTTTAACAATTCTAGACACACATGGGTGTTTCTATTAAGTTAGAATTGGCCAATGTTTCGTTGTATATAAACACTATGAGTATAATGGTGGTTATGTAGATCTGTAAGAAGTTCTGGCCTTTCTCGAACACGACTACGTCAAGGCTGTGTTTGAAACGACAGTAATGGACGAGCCATATGGACCTATGTTTCAACACACAGCTGCAAACACGGAACACCCTATAAAGTGCCACTTCAGATACAATTACCGGTAATGGTATTACCCAAGTGTGAATCGTTTCCTTCTGTAACGAATTGTCTATTGCACCGCATTTAATCAATTGATCCCATGTACTCTAATTCTAATCGGCTTTTTTGAGTAAGAACAAATTAACTCCACCCATGTTGCATTTGCTCAATTGATGTTTTACTCCGCTAATATATTACTCAAGAGTTGTATTACTCTGCCAATATATTACTAAATAATTGTATTACTCCGCCAATATATTACTCAATAATTGTATTACTCCGCCAATATATTACTCAATAGTTGTATTACTCCGCCAATATATTACTCAATAATTGTATTACTCCGCTAATATATTACTCAATAGTTGTATTACTCCGCCAATATATTACTCAAGAGTTGTATTACTATTACTCCGCTAATATATTACTCAATAATTGTATTACTCCGCCAATATATTACTCAAGAGTTGTATTACTATTACTCCGCTAATATATTACTCAATAATTGTATTACTCCGTCAATATATTACTCAATTGTTATATTACTATTACTCCGCTAATATATTACTGAAGTTGTATTACTCCGCTAATATATTACTCAATAGTTTTATTACTCCGCTAATATATTACTCAATTGTTGTATTACTCCGCTAATACATTACTCAATAGTTGTATTACTTCGTCAATATATTACTCAATAGTTGTATTACCCCGCCAATATTTCTCAATAGTTACAATACTCCGGCAATATATTACTTACTACTTTTACTTCCCACTCAATTTATAGCTCAATCGTTATATGTTCGATCACTATAACATTAATTCAACGTTACGCTACTAAATGGTACTACTTGTCAACAGCTCTACTACACAGTAATGATATTACTCACATGAATCTAAGTACTCACTGATAACTCGACGTTCGAAAGTAAGAAACATCGACAATCTTATATAAACTCAAATGAGACTAATTTGAATCTTTTTAAGAAAATTTTAGTGCTCCATTTTTCTAAAGCTTGTGTCGACTTTTCAAGTACTTCTGGATTTGATGAGGGTTTCGGTCTTTAAAACACCAACGATCTAACGACGTTGCAATGAATCACTGAAATCTATTATTTGGAGGGTATATAATACTGACTTTACAACAAAGATGTGGACATCGGAAAGGTAGTATGTGGCAATATATAAGGGAACGGAAATTCACATAAATCCTTCAACTTCAGAGTGGCTTCACAAAAACTAACTTCTCCTTAATCAAAACTCAAAATGTCAACTTAAATTTTAAACACCATATGTTAGGTCTACAATGGAACCAACTTAAAAGTCAATTCTCATATCTTGGTGTCAGAAATAAATGTTTTAATGTACAATTATTGCATGACTTAGACTTCATTTTGAACATATTTTGAACACGGGGGAAAGTGCTTTGCCTGTGCTATACGCCACTAGCCTCCAGTCATGATTTTTTATTCACATCAAAGTAAATTCTTAAAGCATCTGGGTGGTCGTTTGCGGAGTTCTAACTGTATAAAACCCGATTCACTTGAGAGAAAATCTTGTGTTAAGTATTTGTTTTTCTCTGTTTTGTATCATTCAGCAAGAAGAGTGCACAGGTATATCGAGTTAGTGATTTGGCTAGCTGGCGACGATGCTACCATGGTGAAACTGGTTGGCAAGGCAATGCTTCAGAGCCAGACTGAGGCCTGGCGGATAGCAAGTCACCCATCAACACACAAATGCATTAAATTCAAACCTGACACCTCATCAATGACAGCAATATTAACCCTGACAAGTAAGAGGCATGTATTTTGTTGAATATAACTGTCTCCACTAATTTGAATAACAGCCACGATTACATGGTTCAAAGCCTGCCTCAAGACTGCAAGCTCACAGTCATCATAAAACATTAGCTATCACTATATATATTTCAAATCTTCCACAGATAATCAAATAAATCAGGTATAAACAAGTGAAAATTCCCCAGATTAAGTGAAAGATAGCCATCAGTAACATATGTTTTGTATCCAGGGGATTGAGAAAGGCGGCCAGTGTATCAGGCGCTGGGGGACACCCACTGTGATCTCGATACATACAACATTATCAGAGTTATATAACATATTTATAAACCTCTACTGCAATAACGCTGCACAGCAGATGATAAGTCAGCAATGTTTCCTTAAGCAGCAGTTCATATTTACAAACAATGGAGATTATCTAAACTCAATGTTGAAAACATTTCAAACAAATGATACCTGCGGTTAAAGTCCTCAATTTTACTTGAATTTGTTTCGTGATGTTCACCAAACAAAACAAGGAATCTCAAGTAGATACCAACCTTTATCAAAAATCTCAAAATACATGCTTCATACAGGAGATGTTTAGTATAACTGAGCGTTCAGTAGTCACGAAATGTCTGAGCAACACAATCATTGTCGCATAAAGTCTACGACAATTACAGCTGACGGATTCATGTAGTGTGCGGTACGGTAAAACCAAATCACAGGATAAAATAAATGTTTCTTCCGATATTTCTGGTTAAATATGTTGGGCAAAATAAGTAACATCACATTAGCGAGGTTCAAACTGAAACACCCACTAACAGCTTTCAGCTCAGATTTTGAGTTTTTGATGATTTTTATGATTGTTTAAGCTTACCTCATACAGCAGGTGATCTCGTACAAAAACAAAAACCGAAAATGAAACGAAACAAAAGACAAATGTTTGTTTTTCATTTTCTTTTCTTTGTTTTCAAAGTTCAAATCGATTAAACGCATTATATCAGTCGTCTTCACACTTATGTTACTTATTAACTTAATACAATTGTATATTTTCCCGAGGCAATCTATATCGGCTGGCGTTTACAAAAATAATCACAAGACAAACTCCTTTCTCTTTATTTCCATACACTTATAGTGTTCAGATATCTACCTTTGTACTTATAGTAAAACACCACTAGAAGTATTTTGTTTGATTTAGTTGACGGTCAGCAAATGAATGGTCTGTGATTCTCTCCCAATCCTGCTGTGTTTGACCAACAACAAATCCAATCTCACGCCGTCGAGACTGGTTTTTACGCTCCTCAATATCAGCCCACTGAACCTAAAATTCAAATCACTCTTTACTGTAAGAAAGCATTGCAAAACAGTGATACACAGGTGAATAGCACTTTAACACAAATTTAGAATTGGACACAAAAACCTAATAATAAATTAAACTTGATCAACTCAATAAGGAAAACAACATTCCAAAATGTAAGATTATTCTGAAGTGAATTGATAAAGTATAGCTGGATATTACCTTATATGTCCAGTTCATTAAATTTATTGTTTAATAGGTACTGTTATATATATCTCACCCTCTTTTTTCCTGGTACAGACGGGCGGGACATAATATCATCTGCTAATTGTAGAAAATCTTCCATAGATGTTGGGTCTGGTGAACGCTTTCGTTTGCCATGACGAAGACCATCCAGTTTATCTACAAGGAGCATAAAGAAGTTCATCATTTAGCATTTGTTTAAATATATAGAAAGATATGAGCATGAATTTAGTTATAAATTCCCAATTCCACTAGAATCTAACAGAATTTAAGTACATATCTAATATATAATGCTGAATTCTACCAAAGCTATTCTGTTATAATGAATGAACAAGTATTTTAAACCATGCCAGAATCAAATGATTTTCCTAAATTACAATCACTTATGTTAACTGATCCTATCAACTTTTGTTCTATAAATTTTTTTTAATGAATACATTTTTCTCCGAACCAAAAGAAAACCTGAAAACAACATGATGTGAATAAGGTGGTGTACTGTGATTAATCTAAATAAAATAAATAATTTGTTTTCTGTCCTGTAATGTGTGAATATTTTATGTAGATGTCTTATAAAGACTTTATATCAAGGTTCAGTAAATGTTTGTTATTGGAATACCTATTCGAAAGAGATAATGACACAACGCTCGGTCCACTTTACGATTGAGTCTGAGATAATGACACGAGGCTCAGTCCACTTTACGATTGAGTCTGAGATAATGACACAAAGCTCGGTCCTCTTTACAATCGATTCTAAGATAATGACACGAGGCTCCATCCTCTTTATGATCGAGTCTGATAAAATGACACGAGGCTCGGTCCACTTTCGATTGAGTCTGAGATAATGACATGAGGCTTGGTCCTCTTTACGACTAAGTCTGAGATCAATGACACGAGGCTTGGTCCTCTTTACGATTGAGTCTGAGATAAATGACACGAGGCTCTGTCCTCTTTACAATTGAGCCCGAGATCAATGACACGAAGCTTGGTCCTCTTTACGACTGAGTCTGAGATAATGACATGAGGCTTGGTCCTCTTTACGACTGAGTCTGAGATAATGACACGAGGCTCGGTTCTCTATACAATCGAGTCTGAGATAATGACACGAGACTCAGTTCTCTATACAATCGAGTCTGAGATAATGACACAAGGCTTCGTCCTCTTTATGATCAAGTCTGATAAAATGACACGAGGCTCGGTTCTCTATACAATCGAGTCTGAGATAATGACACGAGACTCAGTTCTCTATACAATCGAGTCTGAGATAATGACACGAGGCTTCGTCCTCTTTATGATCGAGTCTGATAAAATGACACGAGGCTCGGTCCACTTTCGATTGAGTCTGAGATAATGACACGAGGCTTCGTCCTCTTTACGACAGAGTCTGAGATAATGACACGAGACTCAGTTCTCTATACAATCGAGTCTGAGATAATGACACGAGGCTTCGTCCTCATTACGACCGAGTCTGAGATAATGACACGAGACTCAGTTCTCTATACAATCGAGTCCGATATAATGACACGAGGCTCGCTTCTCTATACAATCGAGTCCGAGATAATGACACGAGGCTTTGTCCTCTTTACGACTGAGTCTGAGATCAATGACATGAGGCTCGGTCCTCTATACGATTGAGTCTGAGATAATAACATGAGGCTCAGTCCTCTTTATAATTGAGTCTGAGATAATGACAAGAGGCATGGTCCTCTTTACAATTGAGTCTGAGATAATGACACAAGGCTCAGTCCTCTATACAATTGAGTCTGAAATAATGACACGAGGCTTGGTCCTCTTTACAATTGAGTCGGAGATAATGAAACAAGGGTCAGCTCTCTTTATGATCAAGTCTATGTAATGATCATGCAATAACAATAACGACACAAGACTCAGTCTTTTTTCTGATCAAGTCTGAGATAAAAACATAAGGCCTTATCCTCTCATCAAGTCTATGTAACAGTCATACAATAACAAACACCTACCTAAATGCTCCTCTGAAGTATCTAACTCCCAGCGGCTTTTCTTGTATGCCTGATAATACAGCAACAAAAATATATGCACATGAGAAATTGTCGGATAAAGAATCATCAGTTTTACTTAAAAATCTTAACAGTCTCTGATGTTTTATTTCAGACCAAACAAAACCATTAACAGTAAGCACAGAACTGTATAAACATTTTCATTTGTCAAAGTATTTCAGAAACCATTGAAACACTGACTACTTTCAATTGTTTCATGATGTTAAAGAATAAAATATATACAAATAAAGTAACTAATATCAACTTGAAGACTCGGGCATTTCTTTCAATCTTAAAAGAATTAAATCATTTACTTCCTTTTGAATGTTATCAACCGACATTAACGTTGATATGCTGCTCACCGTGCGATGATAGGATAACGTTTACGAATGCTCGGTATACCAACAGGTCTCGTATACAGCCGTCACAATGGTTACCGTTAACATACAGTACTTTTAACTTCCAAAACATAATGCATGGAAAACATAGTATTTAAATATTCTATCACTAGAATTAAACATTGTTACTTGTTTGAGGTTACGATAGCCCTAGGTATAATACCAGGTATCATGTTACACATGACTGAAAGAAACATTTTTGTTACAGAAAATCATAAAGATATCAACACAGGCATCAGAGCCACAACATACTTCCCACAGAGATTAATTTTGGATATCTCTAGACTTACACAAAGGATTACTATGGTTAATCCAGGGATATCCATGCATTTTTTCTCAGGGTATGACAACACAACAGATAAATTCCTGTATTTGCAAGTTATGAAATTCATTACATCGAGTATCATAATCAGAAAGGAGATTATAATTCTGAATAAATATCAACAGCATACACTAATTACCATGGTGCAGAGTCAAAGGGTTACTGGGGTAAAATACCAACTTAACTGTTCCCTAACATCAAGTCATCATTTTACAGAATAAATTATAATATTTGATAGGTCAAACATGATGGACCATCACATACATACAGAGAAGTGAAATATTTTACATTGACACGAACAAACCAACATCTCAATCTCATCATATATCACGATATACATTTCATAGTACGTCAAACTAAAAATATATTTTACATTTTATTTAATTCATAGTTTGTGTAAATTTCTACTATTTCTTTTTCATGTTAAGAACATGTATGGGAGTATATGTACCAATGTATACATCTACAGAGAATATTAAATACAGTTTTACTACCCAATTACACAATCTTTTCTTTTTTCGAATTTCACAAAGGATCCTACTAGATATTTAATATTACAAACAATATTGATACAGATGTCTCAATTATTCATCAGACTGCACATACAGTTAACAAATGTTCAGTCTCTTGAATAAAGGGAAACAACTCTTAACGAAGGATGTTGTTTAACATATTTCTAATCATCTTAAAATCATTATAAATGTCATTCCAAGCAAAATATCATAAAAATTCCTAATGCAACACAAATATGTATGAAACATACCTTGAAAATCAACTTATAATCTCATATTTCAATAAAAACCTCAAATCAAGGTTAAATGCTAATAAATTACCTTGTTTTGGTGTATCAAACACTGCTTCTCTATGGTGGGAAACACTGTTTCATCATGTTTGTGTGTACTTAATTTTTTTCTGAATGAATCTTTGGTATTTCAGGTGATGTTAAAACATTGAATATGATTAATGAAGATTGTATATGCATCTATAAACTATAGTTGATGCTAGTGTATAAACATCTGATGTGCTCTTGATGGTATCAACAAGAATTTTTTTTTTTCTAACACGATATCAAAGACTAGAATATACATAAAGTAAAACAGGTAATGGAAATATAACAAAAAACAGTCATTACTAATAGAGTAACTGTTAACATTAATGATATCCTTTAAACTGTGCCTGCCAAGATAAATAAAAAAACTAGAACTTTTCATTTTTCTAGTCAGTGTGTGGTAAAGTGGTGATAGTATATTAAGTCAACTTCTATAAATAATCTGATAAATAGAGCTTCAGAGTTAAAGCTTGATTCATCAGAACACACAATTCTCACCTTAAGATATCATCAACTCATGCTTACTTATACACAGACAGAAATAAGTATTACATTCAGGGGAAATGAATTGATAATTTTCTTAACTCAGACAAGATGTTGGTCAATTCGTACTGAAATATAAAATGTTTGTAATAATATGTGATCTGCTACTGTAGACTGATCACAGATTAAAACAATGGCATAAGTTGTCATCACTTAATGCTCATTTAGAATTATTTTTTAATGTTTCATTCATAGTAAAATACCATTACCTAAACCTGAGTAGTAGATTCCAAAGATGATAAAATACTTTCAATCTTGTGGTGATTTATATAATACACACATATATTTAAATACATTCATAAATATTTAACAAAAATCACCTGTACAGAGAGTAATTCATTCTGGGCTCATTTAGAGACATGTAAACTCCTCATTTGAGACATCTGCTTACATTTAAGAGTTCATGTATTGAGACTGTAAGTGTCCTCAATTACATTTGAAACTACAAGTTTCCTCAAAGAGGACTTTTGTGGTAATCTGAAGTGCTAATTTGATACTACAAGTTTTCTCACTGAGGACTTTGTGGCAATCTAAAGTGCTTATTTGAAACTACAAGTTTCCTCACTGAGGACTTTGTGGCAATCTAAAGTGTTAATTTGATATTACAAGTTTCCTCACTGAGGACTTTGTGGCAATCTAAAGTGCTTATTTGAAACTACAAGTTTCCTCACAAAGGACTTTGTGGCAATCTAAAGTGTTAATTTGATATTACAAATTTCCTCACTGAGGACTTTGTGGCAATCTAAAGTGCTTATTTGATACTACAAGTTTCCTCACTGAGGACTTTGTGGCAATCTAAAGTGTTAATTTGATATTACAAGTTTCCTCAGAGAGAATGCTTATGACAATCTATAGTGCATTCCTTTGTAGTCACAAGTTTCCTCACTGAGGACTTTGTGGCAATCTAAAGTGTTAATTTGATATTACAAGTTTCCTCACTGAGGACTTTGTGGCAATCTAAAGTGCTTATTTGAAACTACAAGTTTCCTCACAAAGGACTTTGTGGCAATCTAAAGTGTTAATTTGATATTACAAGTTTCCTCACTGAGGACTTTGTGGCAATCTAAAGTGCTTATTTGAAACTACAAGTTTCCTCACTGAGGACTTTGTGGCAATCTAAAGTGTTAATTTGATATTACAAATTTCCTCACTGAGGACTTTGTGGCAATCTAAAGTGCTTATTTGATACTACAAGTTTCCTCACTGAGGACTTTGTGGCAATCTAAAGTGTTAATTTGATATTACAAGTTTCCTCAGAGAGAATGCTTATGACAATCTATAGTGCATTCCTTTGTAGTCACAAGTTTCCTTACAGAGGACATTTGTGGCAATCTACAGTGCATCTATTTGATATTCCAAGTGTCTTCATCAAGTATGTTGCATGTTGCAATGTTTGGAGTTCATGTATTATGCACATATAAAAGGGATTTATCTGATACTGAAACATTCCTCCTTAATAACATTTAGGAGTAGATGTCTCTATAAGGTATAGATATAGATGTAAAGAGTATAAAATGTTTCTTCATCAAAGACATTTGTGACAAAATTAACTTTTACCATGATATCAACAATAATACACTCTCTAGTGACTAGATTTACAGAAGAAGATTTCATTTCTCAATACTCAATTGTCATGATTTTACTGACAAAAAAAATTGGGCAACAAGCATAGGCTATGAAAGCCCTGAAAAAGATCATATATGTTTGTATGATAAATTAAACATGTTATTACCTACCATCAGTTTATGATGGAAAATGGTCAAATAAATCATGTGACTCACCATCAAGTGGACGTGAATAAAGCAGTCACATCAATCAAGGGTATCTGTTGGAGGTAGCATGGCAAAAGGGAGATAACTCCATGTAAGGAGAGGGGAAGAAAAATAATAGGGTGAGTTTTTAAAAATGAGTGCTGCTGACTATTTGCATCAAATATGAAAATGTAGTTGCTATTACAGACTTCTACACTACACACCATCATTGGATTTTTAAATCAAAAGGGTGACATATACAAATCTCAACATATAGAGCATCCTGTATTTCATCAGAAAGATTTTGTTTAGGATTCCATTAAGGTCTCTTGAACAATCTCTTACTCTTGTGTAGTTTTCAAGGAGAATTCTCTTATACAGAAGAGTTTTAAAGGATGAGGTTACTGAGCCTGTAGGACAAGGGTCATCCATGACAGCATGTCATTAAAGGTATTTTACAGAGCAAGAATGAACTCATAGAGTCTATAAAGTTTCAATAGGAAGACAGGTTTTAAGGTGACCAAGTAGAACTTAATATAGCGGTTAGTATTACTCAGAAACGGAGTAAGCATGACGGCCTTCATTTAAAATCAGAGACTCTGTACATCAAAAGTGGTGTTAGTAGCAAACAAATTCTGATTAACAAAGCTAAAAATCTGAAAGCTAGATTCTTCAGAAAATTGATCAACTGTAAATCCCAATGTATCAAAAGACCATGATACTTCATTAAGTAAAATGGTTTAAGACAAGGTTTTATGTTGGTACTGAGATTCAATGGATCAAATTTCCAGGGAATTAATCAACAAACAGATCAATGTAAAGAGGATGTCATTTTCATCGACATTATGTAACATACCAAACTCTTCTTTAAATACATTATTTTCATTACATTATTTTCATACCAATCTCTTCTTTAAATACATTATTTTCAAGATATCTATTTTTGCAGTTTCTAAAATTACAAAAACTGGACCTCTTGAAAACAAGTGTCAGTACATACTAGCTATAAATATAATCTGCCAGCAGTTTCATAAAGTGTGTGCTATTATAAAGAGTGGTAACATTTAGTAGTAGTATATGTTTCTACACCATTGGTTTAAGGCACCAGATCTATTGGTGTCAGTATCTTGTAGACTAATCACAGTATAACAAGAAGACACCTGATCATCACTGACTTCTTTAGCTGCGAGGAACATTTTTTGTACCCCGTTGTAAATAAACTTGTTCATTATAACATTGACAATCACTTACTTCAATAGTTATTTTTATTGTTCAACATAAATTTGAAGTAATTTCAGAAAGTAATTCTGTCAAATTAACACACATATTAAAATACAGCTGTTGCTGAATACAGCAAACATACATGTGGCAGGTGTATTCCAACAATGGCCATGTCAGTAGCAGGATAAAAAGGATTTCTGTGCTGACACTGCTCTATTGCATGCTCATCATTTAATGATACACTAATGAAAACATATTTCTCCTCAGTAATTTTATCTGACTACTGATTAGGTCAGTTGATAATGTCAGTCTATGGTGAAGATCCATCTCTCAATCATATCAAGAGACCTAATGGTCCTTGACAGCCAACTGAGTTCAAGGAACATAGAATTGAAATCTCAATGTTTACAGCTTTCTTTTCTGGGAAGTCAAATTTCCTCAAAAAAGAAATTTAATTGTCACTAAATAACCTATATGCTGCACTAAGACAAGTGTGCTGATTTGTTTGACAACATTTTTAATTTCTATGCCAGTTCAGGTGTTTATGCTGGTGATCAATGCATTTGGTTTGAATAAGACCAGCAGTTCTTGAGAAAAAGCTAAAAATGTGAAAAGCCATTCAACAATGACTATAGAAAAAAGGTAATGGAAATTGAGTTATAATGAACCTTTGGTTAAGGTGATCTGAAATCAGCTATCTGCTTTTACTATGCATTCCTTTGTACTGATCAAGAAGTGTTCCTCAATTTCTGTAGGGTTTACTATTGATTGCTTCCATAAGGAATTAAGTGGATAACCATCTGCCTTAACAACTACATTCACTTAAATAGGACTTTAACATTCCCTCACTATAATCCTCCTCTTATCATAACTTAGTGTTTGACCATATTATCTCATTGACATTACAGGTAAACCACTGACAGAAAAAACTCATTATTTTCAGGACTACAAAAGTTGGTAATTCTGGCTGGAGTAATTGCCATCAATTTAGACTGACATCACAAATGCTTACATCTCTTGGTAAAATTAAAAGTACTGCCACCGCCAATTATATCACGGAAGTGTTCCACTCATTTGTTCTGTAACAAGAAGAAAACTGTCCCTCCCCCACCCCACGACTATATCAAAGAAGTGTTTCTCTCATTCACCCCCAACTATATCACGGAAGTGTTCCACTCATTTGTTCTGTAACAAGAAGAAAACTGTCCCTCCCCCACCCCACGACTATATCACAGAAGTGTTCCACACATTTGTTCTGTAACAAGAAGAAAACTGTCCCTCCCCCACCCCACGACTATATCACAGAAGTGTTCCACACATTTGTTCTGTAACAAGAAGAAAACTGTCCCTCCCCCACCCCACGACTATATCACAGAAGTGTTCCACTCATTTGTTCTGTAACAAGAAGAAAACTGTTCCTCCCCCACCCCCCGACTATATCACAGAAGTGTTCCACTCATTTGTTCTGTAACAAGAAGAAAACTGCTCCTTCTCCCCACCCCGACTATATCACAGAAGTGTTCCACACATTTGTTCTGTAACAAGAAGAAAACTGTCCCTCCCCCACCCCACGACTATATCACAGAAGTGTTCCACTCATTTGTTCTGTAACAAGAAGAAAACTGTCCCTCCCCCACCCCACGACTATATCACAGAAGTGTTCCATTTGTTCTCATTCACCCCCAACTATATCACAGAAGTGTTCCACTCATTTGTTCTGTAACAAGAAGAAAACTGTCCCTCCCCCACCCCACGACTATATCACAGAAGTGTTCCACTCATTTGTTCTGTAACAAGAAGAAAACTGTCCCTCCCCCACCACACGACTATATCACAGAAGTGTTCACCCCACGACTATATCACACTCATTTGTTCTGTAACAAGAAGAAAACTGTCCCTCCCCCACCCCACGACTATATCACAGAAGTGTTCCACTCATTTGTTCTGTAACAAGAAGAAAACTGTCCCTCCCCCACCCCACGACTATATCACAGAAGTGTTCCACTCATTTGTTCTGTAACAAGAAGAAAACTGTCCCTCCCCCACCACACGACTATATCACAGAAGTGTTCCTCTCATTCACCCCCAACTATATCACAGAAGTGTTCCACTCATTTGTTCTGTAACAAGAAGAAAACTGTCCCTCCCCCACCCCACGACTATATCACAGAAGTGTTCCACTCATTTGTTCTGTAACAAGAAGAAAACTGTCCCTCCCCCACCCCACGACTATATCACAGAAGTGTTCCACACATTTGTTCTGTAACAAGAAGAAAACTGTCCCTCCCCCACCCCACGACTATATCACAGAAGTTTTCCACTCATTTGTTCTGTAACAAGAAGAAAACTGTCCCTCCCCCACCACACGACTATATCACAGAAGTGTTCCACTCATTTGTTCTGTAACAAGAAGAAAACTGTCCCTCCCCCACCACACGACTATATCACAGAAGTGTTCCTCTCATTCCCCCCCCACTATTTCAACTAAGTGTTCCACTCATTTGTTCTGTAACAAGAAGAAAACTGTCCCTCCCCCACCCCACGACTATATCAAAGAAGTGTTCCTCTCATTCACCCCCAACTATATCACGGAAGTGTTCCACTCATTTGTTCTGTAACAAGAAGAAAACTGTCCCTCCCCCACCCCACGACTATATACTATATCACAGAAGTGTTCCACACATTTGTTCTGTAACAAGAAGAAAACTGTCCCTCCCCCACCCCACGACTATATCACAGAAGTGTTCCACTCATTTGTTCTGTAACAAGAAGAAAACTGTCCCTCCCCCACCCCACGACTATATCACAGAAGTGTTCCACTCATTTGTTCTGTAACAAGAAGAAAACTGTCCCTCCCCCACCACACGACTATATCACAGAAGTGTTCCTCTCATTCACCCCCAACTATATCACGGAAGTGTTCCACTCATTTGTTCTGTAACAAGAAGAAAACTGTCCCTCCCCCACCCCACGACTATATCACGGAAGTGTTCCACTCATTTGTTCTGTAACAAGAAGAAAACTGTCCCTCCCCCACCACACGACTATATCACAGAAGTGTTCCTCTCATTCACCCCCAACTATATCACGGAAGTGTTCCACTCATTTGTTCTGTAACAAGAAGAAAACTGTCCCTCCCCCACCCCACGACTATATCACAGAAGTGTTCCTCTCATTCACCCCCAACTATATCACGGAAGTGTTCCACTCATTTGTTCTGTAACAAGAAGAAAACTGTCCCTCCCCCACCCCACGACTATATCACAGAAGTGTTCCACTCATTTGTTCTGTAACAAGAAGAAAACTGTCCCTCCCCCACCCCACGACTATATCAAAGAAGTGTTCCTCTCATTCACCCCCAACTATATCACAGAAGTGTTCCTCTCATTCACCCCCAACTATATCACGGAAGTGTTCTACTCATTTGTTCTGTAACAAGAAGAAAACTGTCCCTCCCCCACCACACGACTATATCACAGAAGTGTTCCTCCTCTCATTTGTTCTGTAACAAGAGAACTGCCAACATGACATGACTTACCTTACCAGCTGACATGGAGTCACTATTCGCCACATGCCCCTACTCTACACAGCAGGACAAGTACTGTAAAGAAACTGATGTTAGGACACAGTAACAACAACAGAAAGCACTGTCAGATATAGTACTTACCCCTCCAAACCTGTTATCAACAGCTTCATCCTCTTCCTCTCCTACTGAAGACTTCCTTTTCTCACCTGTCTCATGTACCTCATCCTCCATTTCAACCTTTTAAAAACAATTCATAAATTCATAACAGAGCATGCTCATGAACAAATGATAAAAAGTCAACCCTGGCCATTCCCTCAACTGATGAAGTCAACTGTGGTCTTATCCCCAAATTACTTAAATTGATACAGAAGTCTTGTACTAAGGTTTCTTCAACTCCTATCAGGGTTAGATGGGGTGATGGTGGGGAAGAGATACCTTTTAATTACCCATAATTAGGATAACACCAAATAGTTACCTATAATACCTATCATTATAATAACATTACTTGCATAAGGTCAGGCCTAGAATTTCCCTTTACTGTAATGATATAATGTACTGACAACAGAGCTTCATACAACTTGTAAACTCAAAGAGTGTAAAGTATTTTTTCAATGCACAAGCCTAAGGCTAACATCCTACTAAAATCCACTGGCCTGAAACAACGATTTACTTCAGCAAGCTTTTTGCCAACTTTGTCTATTCACCAAAATGTTACGTCAAATAAAAAGTACTGATTTTACTGTTATTTTGAAGGCCAGTATTACCTTCTCAGTAATTTTTGTTTATCATATAGAAAACTCGGCATCAGGCTAGTGGATTTTTACACTCCTGTGTAAAGGGACATGCCCTTTGACTCAAACAACGATTGTCTCAGAACTCCCTTAGCAATCCCAAAGCTACAATTGTAAAGTTTACACTAAACTGTGAAGATATATACATATATATGACCTTGTCTAAAATAGTTATTGAAAGAACATCTTCTACCAACTGTAAAGTGCATTGTGTATTAGTATGAAATAAAAGGGGAGAGTACAAGACCGAAGTAACCATGGTAACATAAAGACGACAATACTGAGGACAGTACAAGACCAAGTAGCCATAGTAACAAAGACATCAAGGTACTTACATCTGTAATAGACACTTCCTGTAATAGTGACCGAATGTCCAATCGTAGATAATGACGTGGTGTTTCTTCCCACTTCCTTTTAATCTGTTACAGATAAAACACAAATTTTGCTCAACATGAAAAGTTCATAATTTCATTTCATATCTTTATTACATTTTCCCACTCTACAAACAAGGATTTTACAAACGACAAACAAGTAAATTGCACCTTTTAACATAAATTCATATAAGATATAAAAGAGCCAAACAATGAATTAAACTGCATCCTACAGCTGTCTTGTCCATTTAGGACAAGTCAGTGTTACTAAGGGCCTAAAACATCAGGATATTTCTTAGCTTTATTGTCTTAATTTGGTCTTCATATTGACAAATGTGTAAAATGAGCCGATTTTAGTTTGGAGTGAATCAGTGTAAATTAAGCCCTGCTACTTACTTTTTCTAATTCCTTTATTGATCTTTTATGTGTGTTTCGTTTGGCACATGTAGCTACATCACCTTGGATATCAGCAATGTAGACCTGAAATATAGATTATTGGTCATCGACACTCTTAAACATACAACATTAAACTTCAAATGAAAGAGTTGGAATTCATGTTAAATCATCAATATTTAAAATTCAAAACTTAACACAAAAAGATAAGCACACATTGTCTTATCCTTTTGTCCTAACATATAAATCTTACCTGGAAACCTTTGGATTTAGCATAACTCCAAAACTCCTCGAACTGCTTACAACGGTCATTTACAGCGTCCAAAATGATGAAAGCAAAGAAGCCATCATCTATGGTCTTTTTAAAACTCTTGAACATGTTTTGTCTGTAACTTTCTTCCATTTCTGCTTCATACTCATACTCCAGAGACTGGAAAATAAACATAATGATATTTAATACAGTACCACAAGTCTCCACAACTATATCTTTACTTACACAAGTTTTCAAAAAAGATATTCATCTGGAGTTATATCCACACTTAACTTCCTAATAGTAACTGAGTACTCATATTCTTTGTATCTTTCATTTGACAATATCACTCAAAGTAATTGATAGATTGTTTTACAGAAACCAAATCTCACCACTAGTAAATACAAACCAAATCTTATCAGAGGTTCTCAAGATCAGACATTTAGGAAGGAATGCGACCTGATGGGACCAATGGACATGGGTCATCATCAACAATGGGACCGATGGACATGGGTCATCAATAATGGGACTGATGGACATGGGTCATCATCAATAAAGGGACCGATGGACATGGGTCATCATCAATAATGGGACCGATGGACATGGGTCATCAATAATGGGAGTGATGGACATGGGTTATCAATAATGGGGTCGATGGACATGGGTCATCAATAATGGGACCGATGGACATAGGTCATCAATAATGGGACTGATGGACATGGGTCATCATCAATAATGGGATAGATGGACATGGGTCATCATCAATAATGGGACCGATGGACATGAGTCATCAATTATGGGACAGATGGACATGGGTCATCATCAATAATGGGACCAATGGACATGAGTCATCAATAATGGGACTGATGGACATGGGTCATCAATAATGGGACCGATGGACATGAGTCATCAATAATGGGACCGATGGACATGGGTCATCATCAATAATGGGACCGATGGACATGGGTCATCAATAATGGGACCGATGGACATGGGTCATCAATAATGGGACTGATGGACATGGGTCATCAATATTGGGACCGATGGACATGGGTCATCAATAATGGGACCGATGACATGGGTCATCAATAATGGGACCGATAGACATGGGTCATCAATAATGGGACCGATGGACATGGGTCATCAATAATGGGGCCGATTAACATAGGTCATCAATAATGGGACCGATGGACATGGGTCATCAATAATGGGACCGATGGACATGGGTCATCAATAATGGGACCGATGGACATGGGTTATCATCAATAATGGGTCATGATCAATAACATGGTTCATCATCAATAATGGGACTGATGGACATGGACCGATGGACATGGGTCATCATCAATAATGGGACTGATGGACATGGGTCATCAATAATGGGACCGATTAACATAGGTCATCAATAATGGGACAAATGGACATGGGTCATCAATAATGGGGTCAATGGACATGGGTCATCATCAATAATGGGACTGATGGACATGGGTTATCATCAATAATGGGACTGATGGACATGGGTCATCAATAATGGGACCGATGGACATGGGTTATCATCAATAATGGGACTGATGGTCATGTGTCATCAATAATGGGAGTGATGGACATGGGTCATCAATAATGGAGTTGATGGACATGGGTCATCATCAATAATGGGACTGATGGACATGAGTCATCAATATTGGGACCGATGGACATGGGTCATCAATAATGGGACTGATGGACATGGGTCATCAATATTGGGACCTATGGACATGGCTTATCATCAATAATGGGACTGATGGTCATGGGTCATCAATATTGGGACCGATGGACATGGGTCATCAATATTGGGACCGATGGACATGGGTCATCAATATTGGGACCGATGGACATGGGTCATCAATAATGGGGCCGATGGACATGGGTCATCAATAATGGGACCGATGGACATGGGTCATCAATAATGGGACTGATGGACATGGGTCATCATCAATCAATCATCATCAATAATGGGACCGATGAACATGAGTCATCAATAATGGGGCCGATGGACATGGGTCATCAATAATGGGACCGATGGACATGGGTCATCAATAATGGGACCGATGGACATGGCTTATCATCAATAATGGGACTTATGGTCATGGGTCATCAATAATGGGACCGATGACATGGGTCATCAATAATGGGACCGATGGACATGGGTCATCAATAATGGGACCGATGGACATGGGTCATCAATATTGGGACCGATGGACATGGTTCATCAATAATGGGACCGATGGACATGGATCATCAATAATGGGACTGATGGACATGGGTCATCATCAATAATAGGATCGATGGACATGGGTCATCATCAATAATGGGACCGATGGACATGGGTCATCATCAATAATGGGACTGATGGACATGGGTCATCAATAATGGGGTCGATGGACATGGGTCATCATCAATAATGGGACTGATGGACATGGGTCATCATCAATAATGGGAGCGATGGACATGGGTCATCAATAATGGGACCGATGGACATGGCTTATCATCAATAATGGGACCGATGGACATGGGTCATCAATAATGGGACCGATGGACATGGGTCATCAATAATGGGACATGGGTCATCATCGATGGACATGGGTCATCATCAATAATGGGACCGATGGACATGTGTCATCAATAATGGGAGTGATGGACATGGGTCATCAATAATGGGGTCGATGGACATGGGTCATCAATAATGGGACCGATGGACATGGGTCATCAATAATGGGACTGATGGACATGGGTCATCATCAATCATCATCAATAATGGGACCGATGAACATGAGTCATCAATAATGGGACCGATGGACATGGGTCATCAATAATGGGACCGATGGACATGGGTCATCAATAATGGGACCGATGGACATGGGTCATCAATAATGGGACCGATGGACATGGTTCATCAATAATGGGACCGATGGACATGGGTCATCAATAATGGGACCGATGACATGGGTCATCAATAATGGGACCGATGGACATGGGTCATCAATAATGGGACCGATGGACATGGGTCATCAATATTGGGACCGATGGACATGGGTCATCAATAATGGGACTGATGGACATGGGTCATCATCAATAATAGGATCGATGGACATGGGTCATCATCAATAATGGGACCGATGGACATGGATCATCAATAATGGGACTGATGGACATGGGTCATCATCAATAATGGGACTGATGGACATGGGTTATCATCAATAATGGGACTGATGGTCATGTGTCATCAATAATGGGAGCGATGGACATGGGTCATCATCAATAATGGGACTGATGGACATGGGTCATCATCAATAATGACACTGATGGACATGGGTCATCAATAATGGAGTTGATGGACATGGGTCATCATCAATAATGGGACTGATGGACATGAGTCATCAATATTGGGACCGATGGACATGGGTCATCAATAATGGGACTGATGGACATGGGTCATCAATAATGGGACCGATGGACATGGGTCATCAATAATGGGATCGTGGACATGGACATGGGTCATCATCAATAATGGGACCGATGGACATGGGTCATCAATAATGGGACCGATGGACATGGGTCATCAATAATGGGACCGATGGACATGGGTCATCAATAATGGGATGGGAGTGATGGACATGGGTCATCAATAATGGGACCGATGGACATGGGTCATCAATAATGGGACTGATGGACATGGGTCATCATCAATCATCATCAATAATGGGACCGATGAACATGAGTCATCAATAATGGGGCCGATGGACATGGGTCATCAATAATGGGACCGATGGACATGGGTCATCAATAATGGGACCGATGGACATGGCTTATCATCAATAATGGGACTTATGGTCATGGTCATGGGTCATCAATAATGGGACCGATGACATGGGTCATCAATAATGGGACCGATGGACATGGGTCATCAATAATGGGACCGATGGACATGGGTCATCAATATTGGGACCGATGGACATGGTTCATCAATAATGGGACCGATGGACATGGATCATCAATAATGGGACTGATGGACATGGGTCATCATCAATAATAGGATCGATGGACATGGGTCATCATCAATAATGGGACCGATGGACATGGATCATCAATAATGGGACAGATGGACATGGGTCATCAATAATGGGGTCGATGGACATGGGTCATCATCAATAATGGGACTGATGGACATGGGTCATCATCAATAATGGGACTGATGGACATGGGACCGATGGACATGACTTATCATCAATAATGGGACTGATGGTCGTGGGTCATCAATAATGGGACCGATGACATGGGTCATCAATAATGGGACTGATGGACATGGGTCATCAATAATGGGACCGATGGACATGGGTCATCATCATGATGGTCATCATCAATAATGGGAATAATGGGCGATGGACATGGGTCATCATCAATGGGACCGATGGACATGGGTCATCATCAATAATGGGACCGATGGACATGGGTCATCAATAATGGGACCGATGGACATGGGTCATCATGGGTCATCAATAATGGGACTGATGGACATGGGTCATCAATATTGGGACCGATGGACATGGGTCATCAATATTGGGACCGATGGACATGGGTCATCAATAATGGGACCGATGGACATGGGTCATCAATAATGGGACTGATGGACATGGGTCATCATCAATAATGGGAGCGATGGACATGGGTCATCAATAATGGGGTCGATGGACATGGGTCATCATCAATAATGGGACTGATGGACATGGGTCATCAATAATGGGACCGATGGACATGGGTCATCAATAATGGGACTGATGGACATGGGTCATCAATAATGGGACCGATGGACATGGGTTATCATCAATAATGGGACTGATGGTCATGTGTCATCAATAATGGGAGCGATGGACATGGGTCATCATCAATAATGGGACCGATGGACATGGGTCATCAATAATGGGGTCGATGGACATGGGTCATCATCAATAATGGGACTGATGGACATGGGTCATCAACAATGGGACCGATGGACATGGGTCATCAATAATGGGACTGATGGACATGGGTCATCATCAATAAAGGGACCGATGGACATGGGTCATCAGCAATAATGGGACCGATGGACATGGGTCACCAATAATGGGACCGATGGACATGGGTCATCAATAATGGGACC